GGCGGGTTCTTGCCATCTGCCCGCTTCAGGGTTCCCAGTGCCCAGCTCAGTGCCAGGTGTGAGTGGACATGAAAAAAGGGACCGGCGGGAAGAACCTGGCAGGCACGGGAATCCATCGGCACAGCGAGGAAGTCCCTTCTGCAGGTCAGGTCTGTCCGGAGGCAGAAGCGGTTGCCTTAGGAAACAGCAAACTGTCTGTCCATGCAGGCTTTGGAGACAGACAGACTTTGATCTCCATGTGCTGAGTGACCTTGGGCAGGCGACCTTGGAGCGACTGCATAGTGCAGTGGCCAAGAGCCGGACGCTGGACTCAGCACTTTGACTTTGCCATTTGCTAGCTCTGTGGCCTTGGACAATTTACTAACTCCTTTATGCCTGTCTTTCCACATCTGTAAACAATAACTCCTCTCCCATATAGCTGTAGGGAGGATCCGATTAAAGGTGTTAATGCATTTAACATGGTTAGAACAGTGTCTGGCGCAGAGCAAGCCAGCTGAATGTGTCCACTGATCACGGAGCTGTCTCCATCCCCCAGCAGAGCAGAGATGGTCCACATCATGTGCCCAGCACGGTATTTGGGAGGTGTTACGATTGTAATCATTATTTCTATTGTCCATGGGGCCTGGCTTAGTGTCTGCCGGGTCTCCAAAGTGGCAATGTGTGGACAATTTCCTGGCTGGCCTGGGAGAAGCAGAGGAACTGTGCCATGTGCCTGCTGGGTGTCTGATTCATCGCTTCTGTCCTCGGGCTCCTCCCCTGCCCACTTGGAATGTCATCATCTCATCTGTGGGTAGCTGCACTCAGCAGCGGCTGCCGCGAGGTGATGGATGGGCAGTGATCGCTTCCTCTCTGTTCCTCACTGAGCCCTCCGCGCTCTGCTCCCTGCTGCTGCTGGTCCCGCTGATTTAGACTGGGGCCACCGCCTCTACTCCCAGATTCCAGATGCAGGTGGACCTTCATTCAAATCCAGATACTCTCCTCTCTGCTGAGTTTCTTAACTTCTTTCACCCTTGGTTTTTACATCTGTGTTATGGGAACAAAATCTCCCTCCTAGAATGGTTGTTGGGGGTAAGATCCCCAGCTGGGTGATTGGCACACGGTGGGCACTCAGTGATTGCCAGCACTCTCTTTTCCCAACTGGAGAAACTCTTGGCTGAGAGACAGATGGCACAGGTGTGTTCTCCAGACAGACCTGGGTGTGTCGGCTGTCAGCGCAAAGCAGGAAGACATCAGGGGCCATCTTGTGCAGGCCCTTCTCCTCCCGTAATATGCAAACACACTCTCCCCTTTTGCTGTTTCATAAACTGGGGACAAGCTGAAGTGTTTTTCCAGAGAAGCTGTAGTGAATTCCTGCTGTTTCCCCTTGGAGCTGCCATTCTGGTCAACAATACCTGGCCTCTGTGGAAGGCTTGAGGAGAAACAGAACCCCCACTGTGGGAAGAGAGATCTTCCTCTCCAGAAGTCTCGGATGTTCTGCTCACCTAAAGACTGAGGGAAAATGAATATCACTGGGTGTCAATAAATGAACTCCAAAGAAGCAGGGTCTTTGTAACCAGTCATGTCCTTTTTTGTGTTCTCATGCTTCTGAGAGGAAAATTGACCAATTAGTGAAGAACTAATTATGTAAATACACATTTGGCTCCTAAGAAGTTACCCCTGTCCTTAATTGCAGAACTACTTCTTATGTTGATCCTGAATGATTACCTGATAAATCCATATTTATTGGGCTAGCGAAGGTAACCCAGTCTGTCAGTAGTTCCTTTACCAGGAAAATAATGTACCAATTCTTACCACCCTCATTATTGTCCTCAGGCATCTGGAAAGAGAAGCCGGCCTTCAGATCCTTTAGCCTGGCTTATCAATGCTGCTCGCAGGAAGGGAATACATGCAAGTTTGGAATACACTCAACTGCAAATAAAGAAAACCCAGTGACAGTGGCTTAAACAATATAGGTTTCCTTTTCTTATGCTTTTCACCCAGGCTTGGGGGGGCTGGTGTTGGGGTCCCTTTCTCCTCAATTCTCCTAGACAGTCCTGCAGACATTATGTCCCTCATTTGAAGGAGAAAGAAGGGAGATTACACTTGCCAACCCATCTACCTATCTATCCCCTTATGTCAGGAGAAGCAGAAGCTTTTTAAGAAACCACCCCTCCCCAACCACAGCACAATTCTGCTATTTGTTTCCTTGGCCAGAACTGGGTTCCATGTTTGTCCCTAGCTGCAAGGGAGGTTGGAAAGGTGAGGAACAGAATAACCATAATTGGTTTAGACCAACCAGCCAGAGATGTTCTCCTTGGGCTGAAAACTCTGCCATTCTAAACAAGAGTGGCGTTCTTTTAGCAAGAAAGAAGCCAGCAATGGATATTAGCCTGACATCTAATGATGTCTGCCACACCTCCATGGCAGGAGCCCAGGAATCTGTGAAATATTCTCACTTGGTCATCAACATCATGATGAAGCCCATGCCTGTAAGCCTGTCCAGTCCACCCATTCAACATTTTGGGTGTCCACTCAGTTTGGGTGTCCCTGGTAATTTCTGTTCAGTGTGAACTCAAGGCCTGCTCTGTGCCTGAAGCTGTGGAGACAGTGGAGGTACACAGTTGGACTGAGATCCAGCCAGGTCTACAGACTCCCCCTTACCGGGCATGCCAATCGATGCCTTCCACGTGGTACCATCAGCTCTAGGACATAGGGCCCTGATGAGGGGTCCCTTACCCAGGCTGGAGTGCATGAGACCAAGGCCCTGGGAGGGGGTACTGAGCAGAGTCTCAAAGGTTGAGGAGGAGGAGCCTGTGAAGCAAGAGACACAATGATGTCATGGCAGCTCTGACACTTTCGTGAACTTACATGCCCCCAGTCCCTTGCCACAGGCAGCCCATAAGTGCCCTAAAGACAGAGATAGTGATTTAGCTATTATCTCATTTATGTGTTCCTAGAACCAGCCCAGAGCCTGGAACGTATCTGGAGCTCTATAAATAATAAATATTTTAGTTCGAATAAATGACTTAATGCGGAAATAAATAGATCATTATCCAAAATGTGGAAATATCTTGGCCAAAGGGATGTGGTCATAGGCTGAGAGGGACTTTAGATGCTAATCCTACCTCCTTGCCCAGCAGGTGAGCCCCGGGGGCCTCAAGGTCGCTGGGAGCCTGGCTGGAGGGGTATTTTGGGAGCCATTTGTCCTCACTGACTAAGCCAGCCATAAATTGCTCCTTGAAGCTTTTGAATGTTTGAGGCTTAATGACGGCCCCAAAGGGAGGTGGGCGAGCAGTTGGGGGGATGATTCCTTACAGCGGTTTGGGCAAGTTCGAATGTCTTTGAAGAGTCTCCATCTTTTCTGTGTTCAGGTCTTTGGACTGTCGTCGCCTGTCCAGGTTTGGGAATAAGGTCATCCCCTCGGGATATTTGCAGAGACAAGGCTCAGTGCCTCTGCCTGCCCTGAGCCCCAGTCATCAGCCTCTAGAGCTTTGCTCATGATCAAGGATAGAACCTTCTGAGTCAACTCATTTTAAATGACGCACGATCCCAGCCAGTCTCTCTGGCGGCCTGCCAGAGTCAAAGTAATTGATGGTCACCCCCAGCTGCCACTGGCCTGGGTGGAGCTGTCTAAATATTGTGTGGTGCCTGCATCCTCTCTTGTATTTGCTTCTAGACAGACATCTCGGTGCTGTTTCCAAAATAACCCCTTTCTTGGGACTTGTCAGACCCTATGGTGCCTTTTAGGATAAACATTAAACATACCTCCTCCCAAATTGGGACAGATCTCATTCTTTCCCCTTGCTGCTGATTGGTAAAGGGGCCTCAAGTTAGTCCCACAGTGAAACATTTATGACCCCAAATATGCAAAGAGGTTATTGTCCATGGAACCAATAGGATGGCAGAACTGCCTAATAATGTGCTATTGTAGTAATAACGTCCATGACCAAATTACTTCATGGGCAGGGTGGGGTCTACGCTAAGTTGCTTCTGGTGCTAAATTTCAGAGAGGGCCTCCTTTCCTTGACCCAGTCCCATGATGGGCTTGGTCTTGCCCCATCTTCGAATCAGCCCTGCCACAAGTGTGCGCTTTGTAAGGTCGCCCGTGTCACAGACGCTCACATGGAGACATAGAGACCAGAGACTTGCAGTGGCGCCAATGCTGGAGCCCAGAACTTTAAAATTCACAGTTGGCACTTTTTCTGGTATTTTTAGGGCCACTGGAAGAGTCCCTTTTCCTTTCAACTTCTTTTTTAGGTGACGGATCACGAAGACGTTTAGAAAAGACATTTATGTAATATCCTGTAACGAGGTATTTTTTACTGCACGACTTACTCATTGCCTTTGTCTAACTGAGCAGTTTCACTTCTTACGCAATTTGCATTCTTCGGGATTGTACCTGATGCCGCCTAGGGTGGCATAAGGGACACCTTTCTGGTGGGCCCCCAGCACACATTACCAGTTTCGTTAACACCCTGCTGACTTGGACTTTTCACATATATGTTCATGTCTTTATAAATGAGGTTCCTTCAAAAGGCCTGTATCACCTTTTGTCCTTTTGTCTGTCTTGCTAAGTCTTGCTTTCAGAGTAACCTCAAGCATCGCCTCTCAAGGAAATCTTCCCTGGCCGCCCCAAGCTAGGCTGGGCGTTGGATCTGTGTCCCGAGTCCCTCAGCAGCCATACCCCTTTCTGTTGCTCCTTACATCTGATGTGGATCATGTGGATTTTGGCGTCTGGCTCCCTCTAATGGACGAGACTGTGAGCTCCTTGTGGGCAGGGACATGCCTCGTTCACACTTCACCCCGAGTACAGAGCATAGAATTTGCAGTCGATGCTTAACTCGTCCATTAGGGAGTAAATGAGACTGTCAGTAAGTGTTGCACTGCCTCCGCCTCTGCTCCCTGCACTGGACATCCTACAGCTGTGAGACAGGGCTGGGTGAGTGCAATGTCACGTTCCACGGAGTGACTGTGGACCACATTTGCTCATTGACCTCTCTGCTTCCTCTTGCCTTTCTCAGATGTGCTCTGCCCCAGCGTCCGTGTGGAGGGAGATCGCTTCAAGCACATTAATGGCGGAACCAAGGAGATCACAGGTAAGAGAGACATGGCGCCCCCTTGCTGGCTGGCTGTGCGGCATTGTTTGCTGGCCCTGAGCGCAGTCTCCTTGATTTGGGGGCAGCCTCGCTGAGGCTGCTCTCATTGCCGTCTTCTACCAACGTCTTGATAGAGCCCTGTGAACTGTGCAGGTAGCAACTCCCATCAACAAACCGCCCAACTGTGAAAAGCATTCACACTTTCCATTTGGGAGTCGGTGGGGATCCTATAGGAGTCACTAAATCATGCGTTAGAATGAATGAGTCGTGAAGGAGCTGGTGAATGAGTAAGCCAATGATTGGCAGAACAAGCAAAGAGTGAATAAATAAATGCATTTGGGAGTGAAGGAAAGAGTGAATCAGAGTTATAAACATATGAGTCAATCGATGGGAGAGGGAAGAGAGAGACACGTGACTGCAGACCCAACAGCAGAAATAAACCCCGCAGAGTCTGCTCAGGGGCTGTCTCCTTGCAGGACAGGGTGTACAGGGTGCGTGGCGTGGCTGAGCTGCTTCCCCATCTTCCTGATAACAGTGAGCATCGGTTCGCTCCTCCCTATGGCCAGGCATCCCGCCGAGCACTTTAAATGCATGCTTTCAGGGAGGTTTTCTTCCCCTCTCCAGGACACTAGCCCCGCTCTCCTCACCAGTGCCCCTCCTCTCCATCCCACGGCATTTGGGCCCAATGCTAACTCATGTGTAGTGCTGAAGAGTCCGTCTCCCATGGTAGATGGTGAGCCATGGGAGATCAGGACCAGGGGTTTTGCAGGCAATGCCAGTGCCCTGCCCCTCTCCCGGGGACCCTGCCATGTCAGGGTGCCCTGCCCACACGATGATGCAAGCATCTGCATCTTTGTGTCTGAGGGATGTTTCTAGAATGGTTGAAAGCTGAGCCACCTGTGCGCACAGTAGGTGAGATATCCCAGGGAGTTAGCACTCCTTGGGAGTGACTCAGCCCTCGACCAGTGACGATCGGTGCAGAAACTAGCTCTGCTGCCCCTCGGCAGGGGACGGGCTCTTCTGAGGTCCACGTTTGACCCATTTCCCAGAGTTTCCCAGTGGGATCCAGCTACAGACACCACCAGGGCAGAGGGCCCAGTGCCATGCTCTTCATCGCTGCTCTCCTTCCCTGCCTCCCATCCCCACTCCTCTATCAAGTGCCTCCCAGATCAACTACTGGCACTTCTGATGGGACCCAAACCAAGATGGCGTCAGTTGTCTCTTTTCTCCTGGAAGAGCACGGGTGTGTGGTTGGTGCTCAGTGAGGCACTGCCTCTATCAGGGTTTCTTTGTCCAACTAGTGAGAGAAAGAAAACTTTCATCCTCTTCACTTCCTTAAGTCAATCACCTGGAAGTGAGTGTTTCCATAGCTGAGTCCCTCTGCCCAGTGGGTGGGCAGTTAGACATCGATGTTCCCACTTACTGCCTTGGGAATCCCCCGTCACACTCGGGCTCTAGATAATTATTCTCATCCCTGGAGGGTTCAGGTGCCTGCCCAACTCTGCCCCGGATGGCTTCCATTGACATCACTCTGCAAAGCAAATTCTTACCTTGCTGCATTCTCCCTTTTTGGCTTTGTGAGCAATGAATCCTTCATAACAGTGTCTCCCCTAAATAATGCATTATCCAGCACCCTGAATGTCCAGAGAAGGGACAGTTATGACAGTAATGACATTAATAACAGCAGTAGTAATAATCAATGCTTACTGAGCTCTTACTGTGTGCGAAGGGGTCTGCACACATTTTCTCATTTAACCCTTACAACGTATGAGAGAGGCACTATGATGCATGTTATAGTTGGAGAAACTGAGGTGCAGACAAATTAAGTCGCTTGTCTGAGTTTGTGGCAGAGTCATCCAGGCCATTGGAAGGAAGGAGAGAAGAGAGGAAGGAAGGGTACATTAATGAGCAAACGATGCTGCCTGTGTCCTCTGTCAATCTGAATGAGCTTTCCTGTCAGTCTATGGACTGAAGGGCCCCAAATATTGTTTCCACTTAAGAATAACTGATTTTGCTGGGAAGATTCAAAATGTGCATTTGTGTGTGTGTGTGTGTGTGTGTGGCAAATGTGCGTGCATGCACACGCATGTGTGTGTACATGTGTGCACGTGTGTGTACACACACACGCACGCAGAGCTGTGAACAGATTCTTCAGTCTCTGGCATACGAGGAGGATCTACTGAAGAGTCTGTTTGGTGATTAGACAGGAATGGGACCCTCTGTTCAGAATCTGCCGTGTCGATCTGCAGCCCGTGGAGCCCTGAGACCTCCTCCACCCCCGCAGGCTTTGAGGTTCCCAGGAAATAAATCACAATGCCGTGCCAGGTGGGCATCCATTACATGCAGTGCAGATGCCCTGTTTGTGCAGCTTGAAATGCACAGAGAGCCTGCTGGATCTATCATCTCCTCTCCTTATAACCAGCCCAAAAAAAGGCTCCAGCCCTATTGAGGCTGAAATGGGAGTTACGGAGAGGTGGAGCCTCCGAATTGCCAATTTAAACGCAATTGGGTAACCCGAGTGGCTTTTGTACTTTGGAAAAAAACACGGTTCCTAAAAGGCTCACCTCCGGGGGGTTTCCCTAAATGACTCGGGTTATGTTTAGGGCTTATCTGGGCTGGAGTGAGGATGGAGAAAAGAACAGACAGGGCAGCTCGGAGGCACAGTGGCCTTGGGTCAGTCTCATGACATATCTGAGGCCGTTTCCCTGCCTATGAAACAGTGCAGCCCACAGAACGTCTCCGAGGGTCCCTCTAGGCTCTCGTAACTGAATGTTCTGTAAATTCTAGTGACTAAAGGTATTAAATGACTTTTCTTGGAGCTTAGCTATTTAATGCTGACAGAAAGTGCTTGGCGCGGTACAACATACAGACTCTTGTCCTCACTGCTCTCCTGACTCCGCCACCCCCCACCCCTGCCAGAATGACCTTTGAAAATAGAAACCGGATGGTGTTTCCCCCTTGCTTTAAAGTCCTTCCATGGCTCCCAGTTGCCTGCAGAAACTCAGACTCTCCCACGTGGCCAACAGAACCCAGCCCGATCTACCCCTGCCTACCTCATTCCCAGCCAGTGTCCCACCGGCCATGGTTCCCGACATCCCAAAATAGGCACGATTCTCAGAAGGAACCTGGCTTCCTTGAGTCCAGTGACCTTGGCACATCCAGCTCCCTCAGACACCCTTTCCTTCTCTGTTTGCCCAGCTTTTATTTGTTCATCAAATTTAGGCCGGGCCTCCTCTTGGAAGCCCTCCCTGATTGCTCCTCAGCTGGGCAAAGAAAATATTCCTCGTGTTGCTATACAAGCCCAGCCATTGCGCTTCCTTATCATTTACCCACAATACTAACACTGTTCAATCCCGTATCGGTTTCCCTCTAAACACTAAACTTTTGAGGGGGTGGATTTTGTCTTGTCCATTCGTGGAATCTGAGCAGCCAAAGGGGCAGCTAGTACATAGGAGGCCCTTAATGGTTGGGCGAATTTCTTCCTTCCCTCCTTCCCTCTGTCCACAAATGGTGCTGCGAACAAGAACAACCAAAACTCCTGACTATTTCAGGGATGGAAGTATGAATCAGATCTGGTTCCTTCACTCAAATTGCTCACCATCTAGTGAGGCAGCAGTCCCACCGACAAGCTGTGTGCACCTGGGCGAGACCCCCTAAAGACCCAGGAGTAACTGGCAAGCCTGGGGGAGTCCAGCAAAGCTTCGTCCATTGTAGACCTTTGAAGGACGAGCAGAGAGCGCACAGTAGGCACTGGCATGAAGCAGGTGCGGCCAGTGGACTCTGGGCAGTCACGAGCCGTCTCCCAGAGGCCACCCGGTCCAGCTGACTCCGTGACTCCAGAGAGGTGCACCCTAGCAATTTCTGCCGTTAACAATTGCTTCTTGATCTCGCGGCACCTTGCATCAGAGTCCATTTACCTCGGGAACATTTTTCATTTTCCTTCCCGGCCCTTATTTATTGCAGGCAATTCATCTTTTCTCTCGGTGCCCTTTGCTGCCACCTAGTTAATAGCTTGTTGCTCAAAGTTTTGTCATGTTTAAGTCTTTGTTTTTATTCATGGAAACCAATAAAAGTGGAACCAGAAAGTAGAGCATATGTTTGCTTTTTTAAAACTTTTTTTTTTTTAATTCTTCCCCTTATAACTGCTAAAGGGAAACCGAGCTTCAGGTGGCAATTTCTAGCGACAGATGACGAAGCTGTGAAGCCGAGGACAGGCCACTCTGCCGTTCTTGCCCCTGACTTCTCGAAGGGCAGGCATTGGGCACGTGTCCATCCGATTCTGAACAGGCTCTCTGAGTAAGGACCACTACTTACTGGGAGCCTCCAGGGGCTGGACATCCAGGCGAGGCCTCGGGCAGCCCTGTGAAGTGGCTGCTGCTTCCCGCTCTGTACAGATGAGACGTGGAGATCTCAGGCTCTGACTAATGCACCAAAGTCATCCTGCTGTGGAGTCTAAGAGCAGGGGCGGGGGCGCCTGTGTCTGACTGAGACACACATGTTCCCTCCCGAAATTAAACAGGCAGCAACAGCCTGCTCCACCTCCACCCCCACCTCCCAGGAGAAACTACTCTGGGAGTTTTGCCCCCAGGGAGGTGGGAGCATCAGAGAGTTTAACAAATGGGAGAGCCCACAGGGACCCACCTGCGCCAGGCTGGTGTGGCCTGCGGGAGCTCGCTGAATCCTCAGGGTGGCAGGCCTGCGCGTCATCCCTTATCCCTGCATCGTTTATGAGGGAGCCCCAAGGATGCTGGCAGTATCTCTGGCCAGGGCTGGGCCAGCTTGCAAACCCAGGACAGCCCGGCTCCAAAACCTGCTCCCACCTGTTCCGCCTTCCTCCGGGACAGAATCTGAGCCCTAAACAAGCCCTCTACCACTTGGTGTCCATTCCATGGAACCCTAGACCTGTAGGGTCCTCTAGGGCCTTCTCCTTTGGTCACCCCATTCCCAGGCACCAGCCTGTCCCACTGCCAGGTGACACTTCCAGGCACAGGGCCCCAGCGCAGGTGGCAGCCTTTGGATCTTCGGAAGGTCCCTCCTTGCGTGGGGCTCAGTCAGTTGCACCAGCTGCTCCTGGCTGGGCCCCTGGGCTGTGGAACCTAGAGCTGCAGGGGTGCCTTCCGCCTTCTGCCCCAGGCAGTGCTTAACTGGTGGTGTTCAGTCTCCATGCAAAGCACTTTGTGGCTGTGCCAACAGAAGTGCAGAGGGGGCCAGGAGGGAGGGAGAGCTGCTCTCCTTCATTCAGTGGGCATTTCTCAACACCTTTTGCCCCTGACCTGCCCACAGCTCCAGGATCCCTGGGTGGGGGGGCGTCTCCCAAGGACACCTCCCTGCAGGGGAGGGGCGTGCTCCTTGGCTCACATTTGGCAGCCTGGTCCTGCATAACTGGGGTGATCGTGGTGGGGCTCTAGGGGAAGTGGCGGAAATATTGCCTGGGTACGAGGCTCCCTGTGACAGGGGATTTCATGGAGGACGGGGTCACAAGGTCCCCACTGTGGTCCCCAGCAAGGGCTCCTGATGTTGACTAATCAACCACCAGGTGCTGGCTTCCTCGCAGGCACCTTCTTAGGCCATCTCGCTGGAATCTCACGACGGCCCTGAGAGGAATTCTTCTCTCCATTTCTCTGGTTAAGGAAACGGGCTCAAAAAAATCCGATAATTTCCTCAAAGTCACTCAGTGTCTTAGTCCCTTTGGGCCGCTACAGCTAAAATACCATGGACTGAGTGGCTTATAAACAACAGAAATTTCTTTCTTGCGATTCTGGGAGCTGGGGAGTCAAGATCAAGACACCTGCAGACTTGGTGTCCGTGCTGTGAGAGCCTGCTCTCTGGTCCATAGATGGTCATCTTCTCACCGTGCCCTTGGGTGGGTGAAGGGGCACCCGAGCTCTTGGGGCCTTTTATATACGGCACTAATACCATCCATGGGGGCTCCACTCTCAAGACCTGACCACCTCCCAAAGCTCCCACCTCCTAAAACGGTCACACCGTGGGTCGTTTTCAACATATGAATTTGATGGGGACACATTCAGTCCACAGCAGTGAGCTGGAAGTCTGGGTGGGGATGCGGTGTGCCTTGGGCTGCGTTTGACATCACAAATGCCCAATGCACGTTGTGTGTTTGCCTGGGATTCACCCCCTTGCTGTGAGCTGGAGCTCTGCCCTAGCTGCAGCCTTCTGCTGGCTGAACCCAGGGGTTCTTTACTGCATAAAAGTCGGACGTTTAAATTCACTGTTCTGCAGGAAATGCTGTTTGACTGGAAGATGTGGCTTTTTCCAGCCGTGGGGGAACTATGGTAAATGGTTATTGTTGACAGAAGCATAAAGATGGATCAGATTCCACCTGCCCTCCCATTTTACAGCTGAGGGAACTGATTCGGGTTGTTGGGAAAGTGACTTAGCCCAGGTCACCCTGGGTCAGTGCGAGGGAAACCCACCCAACTCTCCATCTCCGAATGTTTGTTAAGAGCTTCTTATGGGGTAGAGGAGTGGTCAAGTTCTCGTTTAGGGTGAAGGGTCTGTTCAGAGCACCTGCATTTAGTGAGCACCTGCTGTGTGCCAGGCATGTTCTGACATATCTCCTCATTTAAAACTCACCATGATCTTCTAAGATATCAAGGCATACTATTAGTCAGAAAGTGTTGTCCACGGCCCTCTGCCAGACAGGCAGGCGCTCTGCGGGGCCATTTCACCTGCCCACGCCCACTTGTCAGCACATTCCTTGTCCCCATTTGGTGCATGAAAAAATGAGGCCCAGAGAAGTTGAATAATGTGCCCGAGGCTGAGCAGGTAGGAAAAGTGTAGGGGCAGCGATTTGAACCCTGCCAGAGCCCTCAGTCTTTTACTGCCCCACACTATTGTTTCCTGATTTTATAGAAATGCAGAAGAAACAAGCTCAGAGAGGTTAAGATGCATGCTCAAGATCACACAGCTTTAAGTGGGACTTAACCCAGCCGTATCTGGCCTGCTGGGTGCTGGGTGCTTGCTCCTCTGCACAGTCTGCCCGGGGGTTGAGGCACATTACAGCTTAGAGTTTGGTCGTAAGTCTAGTTTCACAAATTTGTGCTGTGGGCCAGGCCCATGGTTCTGGGGACAGAGAAGGGCAATGTGCTCAGCACGCCAGGCCCTGTCCTCAAGCAGCTGTCAGCCCAGGGAAGCGGGCCTCGCTCAGCCTGTGCCCAGCTGCCCCTACAAGGTGGTGGATGTCAGGTGGCGAAGTGGGGGTCCCCGCCCATTGGGGGAACTGACCATCTCTGGAGAGGCTGGATCATTCGCCTCAGCGTGCATTAAAAAGCACGGTTTGAAGGTGTGCTTTTTTCATCCATGACGAAGCTTCTGGATACATATTATCTTAAGGATCAAGTATCATTTAACACTATATCATGAATTCCGTTAATTAGCCAATGTGTGAAATGCTATTTAGAAATGACATAGTGGCAACTGTTAGTCATTTCCTGAGAACTATGCAGCCTCAGAAAGGCGAGGGGCAGAGAAGGGCCGGTCCAACAAGTCACCCAGGGCCTCAACCCAGCACAGCCTTGCTCTGTAGCGAACCCCTTCCCAGACCATTGCAGGCCCTGCTTCCAGGCCTGGCGAAGCCCCTGCTTGGGTGGCCTGGCGCCGCAGGCCTGCCCTTCCATCCCGCTAACCTCCTGTCAATACCAGGCCTGCTTAGTTATCCCCACTGCCTGAAACTATCCTTTGTATTCGTAATGTACATTTACTGATTTGGGGACTCCCACAAGGGTACCAGTTCCCCAAGAGTCAGGACTCCGTCTCTCTCTGCTGCATCTCCAGGGCTCACACATTCTTGGCACAGAGAAGGCTCTCAAAAAATACATGTCAGTGAATAAATCACATCTCTGGACAAGATCTAATGCTAGAAGGGGCTGTAACCATTATAATGGAAAATAATCACTATAAAAACTCTTTTGTGGGTCTTTTACCGTATGTCAGGCACTGTATGAAGAGCTTATATCATATCATTCAAGCTTCACTACAATCCTGTGAGGTACATACTCACACAATGCCCTTTCTACAGATGAAGAAATTGATGCCCAGAGATGTCAGGCAATCTACCTAAGGTCACACAGCTAGGACCTGGCAGTCAGGAACACAGCCCAGACCTGTCTGAGTCTACAACTCAACTGTCCATGAATGCTAAACCCTTTCTGCCCTGCTGTTTCTTACATGGCACTTATAACAGAGAGGTTCTCAACAATATGTGTTGAATGAATAAATGATCTCTTAGGACAGAATTTAGTGGTAGAAGTCGCTTTGATGATCATAATGTGAGCCCTACAAGTCCATTTCCCGTTAGTCACGGCAGCCCTTTAGGATGTCGGAGACAGCAAGAATCTTCTAAAGTTGCAAGAGTTAGGTGCTGCCAACCCTGAGAGTTGTGTTAACAGTGGGGATGCAGAAACGAGGGAGGCCTGGTACCTGCCCTCAGTCGGCCTCTCTCCCACCTGCCGTGAGATTTCCCATCCTCTGAGGGACGCAGTGTGCCAGCCTCCGGGTGGGCAGTGTAGTTGGACTCCTCTGAGAATGTGCTCTACTGGACTCAAGCCAGCCCTCCAGCCTGGTCTGGCCAATTGTGGGGGAATGTGGATAAGGACGGGCGGTGGTGGTGGTGAATCTTGAGTCATGACGGCCTGCCGTAACAATTTCCTGCCATGTGCTGAGTGATGTGTATTCCAGACTTCTGTGTAACTTGCCCAGTCTCACATTTATATGTGACTGAGCTGGGTTACCCCCTCACCCTGCCCACTCACCTGAGCCCAAAGTTCCTAACTTTTCCGTTACTTTGCATTGCCAGTACACATGAGGTCCCTCTTAGTGTCAAAACAAACCAAATAAAAAACACCTTTCAATTAATGCAATATCAGAAAGATGGTTTTCTTCTCTCTGACATTTCACTCCTTAAAATCATGAAATTTAAAAGCTGCCAGAGGCCGGCCCGGTGGCGTAGTGGTTTAGTTTGCACGCTCTACTTCAGCGGCCCAGGGTTCAGATCCTGGGAGCAGACCTGTGCACCACTCATCAAGCCATGCTGTGGGGGCATCCCATATACAAAATAGAGGAAGATGGGCACAGATGTTAGCTCAGCGACAATCTTCCTCAAGCAAAAAGAGGAAGATAGGCCATGGATGTTAGCTCAGGGCGAAAACTACAATCCAAGCAAAATCCAAACAGACTGCAAAACCATGGCTGTAGGAAGGAGAGCCCTGAATCTCGGCTTTGCCTGCAGAGCCAGCCTGTGAGCACAGTGCCTGTTGTGGGCTTCTTGAACTCCCAGGAGGCTGCCTGCAACCACCACATAGACATCTTCCATTCTTCTTATGCTTGACTAGGAGCCAGGACTTTCCCAACACTTACGTTTCACTGGAAAACCCAGCGTCTGCATTTCTCCTGCCCCCTTTTCCCTGGAATTGGAAATGGAAAGGGAAGCTGTACATCTCTTCACTCTCTTGTTTAGGTTTTCTCCCTGAATATGTATCTGAACAGTTCCCTCTGCTTAAATCCCACATCCAACCCCCGGGCCGGGTGGGCAGGCTGCCTGTGCAGAGAGCGGACACTCTTTTTCCTTTGCCTCCTGTCCTCCTGGCTGAACTCACTCCCAGCTCTTCTCTTTGGACAGGTTTTGACCTGATGGACTTGTTCAGTGTGAAGGAGATCCTGGGCAAGAGAGAGAATGGAGCGCAGAGTTCCTATGTCCGGATGGGAGCCTTCCCCGTGGTGCAGAGGACCGAGTGAGTGGTTACGTCTCCTTCCAGCCCTGCCCTGGACACCTCAGAGAGGGCAGAAAGGAGGCCAGTCAGCCATGGTTGCACACTGAGCAAGAGCAGGGCTTTAGCCTACTTGGTGTCTGGTAAGGTCGCCCTGAGATGAAGCAGCCCAGCCACTGACCTAGGGATTCAAGCTGTCTGTTAGTCACTCTGTTACCATTCACTGTATTGGTTCCCTGGTCACTCAGCTCTCCATACAAAGCTGGTATTGATCACTCATTCATGCATGCATTTTTCTATTAGTTCATTAAATAGCAAACATTTATGGTTATAGGTACATGATGCCTACTCGGGACCAGCCACTGCATCACGTGACAGGCATTGCACCACCCAGAATCACATAGTCATTTTGGCCAATGGAGACCCAGTTTCAATATTTACTGGGTGCCTTCCTCATGCAAATTATTGGATGCCCTTGTGCCTCAATTATGTCATGTTTTCCCCCTGAGAGGAATGTTCCTGTCTTGCCACGTTGTTGAGAGGATTATGATGTAAAGATTTGTCCAGGGTCTCCAGTCAAGGGCTAATAATGATTCTAGATTAGATGTTTCATTCTTCTCATCTCAGGCAGGCAGATCTTTTGAAAAGAAAAATGATATTTCGTCACCCCACCCCTCCTCCATCTTAAAACCCTTTCAGGACTTCCAAGTGTTCTTAGGCTAAAGGGCTGGAAGACCTGTGTGTGACTGGCCCCGTCCTGCCTTCTTGGCGTCCAGCTTGTCCCCCAGCCCTCCTTTATCTATCTTGTTTCTGTCCTGGTTGCTGACCAGACATCTGCCTCCCATCACAGGGCCTTTGTTCATGCTCTTCCCTCTACCTGGGCCACCTGCTCGTCCTCCAAAGTACAGCTCAGCCATTATGCTTTCAAGGATGCCTTCCCTGAGCTCCGAGACTAAGTCAGCCCTCCCTTATCTTCTCTCCTCGCAATGTATATTCCTGCATAAAACGTGGCAAATTTGAAGCTAACTACTCAATAGGGCAATTAGTCATTTATAGATTGTCTCCCCTTCTCAGTGAGAAGTTCTAGGACCCAGCTGAGTCTGGTCTCTACAGCAGTTCCAGCATCAAACTGAGCCCCGCCCAGCGGAGGGGACTAGTCAGTATCTGTTGAATGGACGAATGAATGAATGAATCCATATGAGTGAAACTACTCAGTTAGATACTAGCCCAGAAAAGGTGGGCTTGGAACACCAGGCCACAGAGCTTGGGCTTTTGCCTGCGTGCAGTCATTTTTCTAATTCAGTGCGCATCCTCTGAGTGCCAGCCATGCAGCAGGCATTGTGTTAGACTCTAACGCCACCATGGCTCTTAGCACCTAGATCCCATGAGAGTGATTGTATGGAAGAGGAAAGCAACAAGTCACCTCCTGTCTCTGAGTGTCCTTTTCTCATGTGCAACAGAGACCTAATCTCTGTCAGCGACTCCTGTGGGAGGCCTGTCTTTCTGGACAGCGAGCGTTGCTGCTGTCTCTATACAGATGCCGACACACAGATGCTGGGTGATGCTGTTCTTTGATTTTTAATTATTTTATTGAAGTCATATTGGCTTATAACATTCTGTAAGTATCAGGTGTACATTATTATATGTCAGTGTCTGTATAGACTGCATCTTCTTCATCATCAATAGTCTAGTTCCCATCCATCACCATATATATGTGCCCCTTTACCCCTTTTGCCCTCCCCTCACTCCCTTTCCTTCTGGTAGCCACTAGTCTGTTCTCCTTATCTATGTATGTATTTGTCTTCCACATATGAGTGAAATCACATAGTATTTGTCTTTCTCTGTCTGACTTATTTTGCTTAACATAATTTCCTCCATTTCCATCCATGTTGTCGCAAATGGCATGATTTTGTCTTTTTTTTATGGCTGAGGAGTATTCCATTGTGTATATATACCACATCTTTATCCATTCATCCATTGATGAGCACTTGGGTTGCTTCCACATCTTGGCTGTTGTGAATAATGCTGTGGTGAACATAGAGGTGCATATATCTTTTTGAATTATTGATTTCATGTTCTTTGGATAAATACCCAGTAGTAGAATAGCTGGATCGTATGGTAGTTCTATTTTAGTTTTTTGAGGAATCTCCATACTGTTTTCCATAGTGGCTGTACCAGTTTGCATTCCCACCAGCAGTGTACGAGGGTTCCCTTTTCCCCACATCCTCTCCAACAATTGTTGTTTTTTGTTTTGTTAATTATAGCCATTCTGACGGGTGTAAGGTGACATCTCTTGTAGTTTTGATTTGTATTTCCCTAATAATTAGTTATGTTGAATGTTTTTTCCTGTGCCTGTTGCCCAGCTGTATATCTTCTTTGGAAAAATGTCTGTTCGTATCCTCTGCCCGTTTTTTGATTGAGTTGTTCATTTTTTTGTTGTTGAGTTGTACAAGTTCTTTCTTTATTTTGGAAACTAACTCCAGCAGTGGGTGATGCTATTCTTAATCGTCTGCTCCCATGCTCGTTTGGGGGTACAAAGGATGAACAGAGTCTGGGCTCCATTTCCCACTTCGCTCTCCTTACTTCTTTGGCCTAATGCATCCAGTTCACCATCCATACCACTTAGAAACAGGAAAAATCACACGCAGCTTCGCTTTAAAGGAAAAATGCAATATAGAGAGAACAAAACAAGGGAAGAGGCACACATGCCACAAGTGAGGTGGGAAGACCTGCTAGAGGCCTCCGTGTGCTGATGGCGCCGTCTTTCCAGTGCGTCTGGAGTGAACAGCACAAAGGCTGTGGGGCTGCTCCATGGAAGCGGGATTGGGGTGCTCCTGGGCAGTGGGTTTGGGCTCGTGCTATGCTGAGTCGTTCTGAGAAGGAATTTCTACATGGCTTCAAGTTTGTTTTAAGGGCAAAACACCAGAAACAAAATCAAACCAACAAACCTCTGACATTTCGGGAAAGAATAGTGTCCCTTTAATTTCTAATGCTTTGAAATGTATGCACTGATCCACACACATACATGTATGTACACATACACACACACGTGTAATTTTAATTTAGAGGTTAATTTTGTTTGTAATGGAAAGGGATGTCAATTTCGATATTTATATTTTTCTCACTCGTTTAACATTTAAAGGGCATTTGACACCCCTTATCTGGTTTATCTCTCACTACAATGAAATGAGGTGAGCAAGGCGGGTGTTAGTTTTCTCATTTGTCTGGTGTGACATTTGAGACTCGAAATGGAACAGTAACGTGATCAAGATCTCACAGTTCGTAGGAAGCAGAGGTTGGCCTCAAGCTCAGGTCCTCCAACCCTGAACACTTTACCCTTTTCATTGTCATCTGCTACATTATTTGTGGAAATAATCTGGCCGGTTGTTTCCTTTGGATAGTCTCTGTTAAGGACCTTCTCCCAACTCTTGATTATAATAACTTTTTCTTAGGCTTTCTATGCATATATATATATGCTTATATATACAGCCTAAGAAAAAGTCTTAATCTCTGTCTATCTCTCTCTATATACTTATAGATATAGATAGATAGATATAGCATATATAGATATATAGCATATATCCATATCTATATGCATCTGTCTATATGCTGTGCACACATATACATGTGTGTTATTTCAAAGGTATAAGAAGCAAGTGTGTTTAGAAAAACTCTGTAGCATAGTTGGACTCATTAATGAAATAAGAAGAAAAAGAGAGTGGAGTGAAATCTCTTTGTGGCAGCAAAGCCTGTGTCTGTGCAGGCAGGTGGGGAAGCCCTGTCTCCCTCCTTTGTGGGCAATGACCTAAGACATTCCTGAATCCTGAGGAGCTCCCAGAGCTATGAGTGATGGGTGCTGCTCCTTGTGCCCGGATGTGGTCCTGGGCGAAATCCCAGCTCAGAGAATGCCTTTGAACAACTGGGCCAACTCCCAGCTTGGATCTGTGAACCGAGAATCAGAAAGGGAGGACCGATCTTTGCTCCCAGGTTCTACCACCAAATGAAGGGTCCCTGAGGGTCTGCAAGTCTGAGAACCAGGAACCCAGACACCTCCTCATTTCCCTTCCTGGCTCTCTGGCCAAACAGCTTCCACCCTTTCCAAAGGAGAAGTCGATGGCGCATGCATTCCCCAAGCAGCTCCCTGGCCCCAGGGCAGGGTTTGGCCCCACCCATGGCCAGGTTCTGCAGGGTGAAGGTGCAGCCAGCTGATGGGCAAGAGAAGAGCTCAGGAGACCAGGCCCTGTCTCTCAGCGTGAGCCTCTGCCCTGCCACTTACCAGCCAGATTTCCTCGAGTTAACCCTTCACAGCCTGGCTGCCATCAGCTACAACAAGAGGATCAGAGCACCTTCTTTACACCTTCTTGCAAGGAACAATTTTCATTCTGAATTTGGAAGGGAAAGGACAGTTACAGGACTGTCTCGGCTGGGGTTCCAGGGAGTTGAGGATTCCCCGAGAAGAGGGGCTGGCCCCTAAGCTGGGCAGTCACCCAGGGTTCTGTGGAGACAGGAGGATGTCCTGGTGCTTGGGGCAGGAAAACAAGCAGGATAAGATACCATGGTTGGGCCTTGCTGAGAAGGAACAGCCAGGCAGAAGAGAAAGCTGGGAGACTCAGCTGCATTTGACCCTGAGGAGTGGCAAGTTAGCATTTATTATAGGTTTTGTCAGGGATGCTGATGGTGGAGAGATGGGAGCAGACATGGATGGGGTGGATTTGAAGGGGCAGAGAGTGGGGGTAGGGGGACAATGAAGGGACCACAGTGAGGGTCTCCAGAGGGTCATATTGAGGCCCTGATCCAAGGAAAAGGCAGTAAAGGCAGGTGAGAGGGTGGATTTTAGAAATACTTAGGAGGTAAAGCTGGCAGGACTTAGTGACCCATGGGGCATAGGCTTCCTTGGCAGCTCCTGTGGTCATTGCTCAGCCTGGTGTCATCTGTCTCTCTCTCCCTCCAGGGATGTGTTCCCACAAGGTTTGCCTGATGAGTACGCCTTTGTCACAACCTTCCGGTTCAGGAAAACATCTCGGAAAGAAGACTGGTACATCTGGCAGGTCATCGACCAGTACGGCATCCCGCAGGTCTGAGCAGCATGCTTTGTCTCAGTGGGCCCGCAGCTTTCTGTTTCCCTCTCATGGGGGTGGCATCACCCACATGGTTTCTCCAGGGGCCTCTGTCCTGGGTCTGGGAGCTGGAGCGTCTGGTGTACCCAGAGCTCCCACAGAGGAATGTCATACCACCAGAGAGGTGCACTTTTCTCCCAGTGATGGCCAAGTGCCCAGCACTGTGGTGGGGCAGAAGACCTCGTTCCTGTCTCAGGGACACTCAGCCTGACCAGGGAGGTGGAGGACAGCTCTGCTGTCCTATGGCCTGTGCTCTGTAGCAGCATGAGTGGCGCAGCTTCATGATGTAATGGAAGAAACTGGCTCAGGTCAACTAGACCTGGGTTCAGATCTTGTGTGCACTCCTTGTTGGTATGGCCCTGAGACATGTTAGCTTCCTGGGGCTTGCTGTTCTTAGCTGTAGAGTGGAAAACAGAACGCCTACTATGAATGGCTGGTGGAAGCATCTGGGGAAATCGGGTCTCCAAAGACGTAGAACAGTGCCTGATACACAATACAGTTTTGTCACAGGTAGTTCTCTTCTCATGAGATCCTTTGGTTTTACCCTGAATGAAGCTCCAGAGCCCCATCTTTGCCCACCTTGGGTATGCTTGGCTCTCAGTTCCTACAAAGGCAGAACAACCCATCAGCAGCACATGGCTGAATGAGGAAAGACGTGTCTCAAAAGCAAAGCCATCAGCACGATTCGTTGGTGTGAGATGCAGGCGACACTACTTTTTGTGCCAAATCCCAGCCTCCTTGTTCTCAGACTTCATGGATCAACCGTCTCTTTGCTTGTCATTTACCCTGTTTTTTCTTGAAAAATGAACGATGTGAAGACATTACTCTCCTTCAGCTGGGGGATCCTGATTATATTTTCATTTGGGGTTGAAATAAAATGGAAACATGCCCAAGCATCGGACGGCAGCAGCCACACTCACGGCTGCTCCCTGGGAGAATGAGCCCTTCCAGAGCTGGAGGCTCGCCTTGCTGTGGTTAAAGCTGGATACTTACTTATCCACACTTCCCTGCACTTAGTAGGAGCTGGGGATTGTCCTGGGTGCTTCCTACGTCTTCTCTCAGAGAGTCCTCATCACACCCCTGTGAACAGGTTCTACTGTTATCATCTTGCGATGGAGGGGACTGAGCCACGGCGAGGTTAGGGCATTTTCCTATGTTCTCCTGGGTCATAAGAGGGAGAGGTGGGATTTGAACCCAGGCAGTCAAGCTCCAGGTCTGCCATTTATCTGTCATGCTCAGCTGGCTCCTGTCTCCATCAGTTAGTCCTGCTGAGTGATTTTTCTCAGGCCTGGTCAGATGGAGATGCATAAACATTTTGGGGCCTGATTGCTGAGTGGCTTGATTCCGTAAGTGTGGGAGGCTGCATGGAGGAGATGAGATTCTTCTCTGGAGGCTGTTTTTCTGGAGAGCAGGCAGCTCTTGGTGTCCCTCTTTCACCTACCTCTGCAGGCCCGCAGGTCTTGTGTCTCCGGTTTCTCAGGGTCTGGTGCAATGGGACTGGGCGCCTGCCATGACATTCTTGTGGGGCGAGCCCATACCACCCCCTCGTCTGGGTTCTCTTCCTTCATGGCATTTGCAGAGCTGTGCGTGCTCCCTGTCTGCCATGTCTGCCTGCTCCCCTCTTTCTGCCAGAATGAGCCGAGGATTGAAATCCTGCAGAGCCATGTGGAGACTGGGCCTGTCTTGAAGGACTTCAGGCTCACTTTCAAAGAGATGCCTGGCCGTTCCATTTCATTGAGCAAGGCTTGGTGGACTGCTGTTCCCTGGAAGTGTGGATGACAGCCACCTCCATGCCTTGGGGAAATAGTGGCTAGACACAGGAAAGATGGCTAGAGGCCTGCCAGAAGATGACCTGTGAGCACAATGGTGTTAACAGCCTTCCCATGTCATCTTCCAGTCTCAGGTCTGTGGATCTGGATTTTCATATCCATGATCTCATTCAGTATTTACAACCACCTTTGAAAGCGGCATTTTCCTCATTTGTCGTTTGGGAAACCGAGGGGCTTTCACTCATTCCAGGTCTGATAAAGGGAAGGAAGGAGGCTGGTCCAGCTGGAGCAGAGTGTGGGGGCGAGTGAGAGATGAGGCATGGAAGGTGGTGGGAGGCCAGATTTCCTAGCTTCGTGGGCCCGTGTCGGGACTTCTCGGGAAGTGGGCAGGCCTAGAGACAGGGAGACGAATTAGGAGACTATTGTAGTGATCTAGGCAAGAGGTGACCTTGACTAAGACCAGGTAGTGATAGTAAACTGTGGAGAAATGATCAGATCCTGGAAGTATTTTGAAAACAGAACCAACAGGATTTGCTGACAGGGCTGAGCCATGACGTGCCTTCCCGAGGCTCACCAGCCTGTGTTGGTCAACACAGAACTTAGGCTGGCCGTGTGCCTTCCCTTGCTCTGTATCAGGCTGGAATTAACAGAAACCTTGAAGGGAAAGCCATGTCCTCATCAAGGTGGTTTGGGGACACAGGGCTCAAACGTGTGAACCTATTTTCAAGAAATAGAAGACTATGTTTAATATGCAAGTATTACATTATGCGTATTAGAGGTGTTAGATTATTAGTCAGCGTTCATAGTTTTCTGTTTTTTACTCTAACCATAACTACCAGCAGGCAGTGCAATTAAAAAGTCCATCTTAGGTCCCCCTTGGCTGTACGGAAGCCACGTGGGGCCCAGAAAGACCAACCAGAACACCTGGTGTGTGTTATAAACACCGTAGTGGATCCTACACTGAAATGAGCACCCTCCTTTAACCACGGGGCTCTCATTCATTCATTCATTCATTCATTTATTCAGTACCTTTTCATTGAGTGCCACTCTGTGCCACATGGTGTCAGAAGAGATGAAACAGAGAGACAAAGTGCCTGCTTGAAAGGATGAGGCAGTCGGGCAATAGACAGTGAACATGAGAAATGAACAGGATACTTTCATATACTGATGAAGTACTATGAACAAAAGGGAATAAATCAACATGCCTGGGGATGTGAGAGCAAATGACCGGGTTAGAATCCGGTTATATGTATCATCAGAGAAGGCTTCACTGAGGTGATGTCTTTGAACTTACTTGCTTAATTTATTATAGCTAATATTTAGAATAGTGCCTGGCATGTAACAAGTACTATATAAGTATTTTATATATATATTAATCCTCATAATGACTCTATGATGTAGGCGCTATTATTGGTTCTGTTTTACTAATGATAAAATAGTACAGAAAGGTTAAATAACTTGCCCAAGGTCACACAGCTTAAAAGGACTTATCATTTTGGGTGTAGGCAGGCAATAGACAGCCCAAATTTTTGAAGAGCGTTTTAGTAAAGTGGCTAGGGTAAAGGGAGCTGATGAGGTTAAGGGTCAGGGTTTTGGAAACCGAGGAAAGATATTGAGGTATCCAGGGATTAGCAATGGCAGGAAGCTACCACCCTGGGCTTGGATGGCCTGGGCGGGGGGAGAGTGGTGGTTCTGGAGTCCTGGAGGAGGCAGAGCTCCCAAAGAGCCATGGTACATGGAGGAGCACAGCCATCTGGCACTGCAGGGAGCAGGAAGAGGCAGGAAGAATCAAGACGCTGACCCCCTCTCCTCCTGCTCTTTGATCCCCACTCCCATGGGCTCCCCGTGGGCCAAACTACCTGGAAGCTGAAGGGCACAGGAGCCTGGGTGGAGAAATCCTTCAAGGTCACACCCTGGGAGCCTGGAGCCAGGCAGAGAAGGCTGGAGTGTGGATATCAGAGCAAGTGAAGACTAACCCCACAGAGATAAAACATGAATATATTTGTTCATTCATTCGCTCGATGAATACTTGCTTTCCATATGTTATGTCCTCCACCTTCAAGCACCAGTAGAGTATTCGTCTTGTCCATTGTTGCATTCCTGACACCCAGCGTGTTGCCTGCCTGTCACAGAGGATGTTCAAGGATATTGTGCAAGGGATGAAGAAATGAACACATGGATGAGAACGTATTCCTTAATTCCTCCTAAGAAAAACAAAAGTAAAACTTGCTTCCAGAGCTTTCCAGGCATTGTGCAAAGGGCCAGGGGTACTCCAGTGAATAAGACAGGCAAGGTCCCTGCCATTAAGGAACATTGTTCTCCTGGGGCTTCAATTTTATCCTCGAGATGAGAGACCAGTGTGGGTTAACGGATGGGTCTCAGACTGGTACCTGGCATCTGGCCAGAAGATGTGCTCTGTTTTTCCAGCTCAGGGTTTTAAAAGACCCTGAAACCAGTCAGGGTTTCTGGTCAGTCTCACAGCTCAGAGCCCTCTGTACCAGCTGTTTGCAGCTTCGCAAAAGCGCTCTGACCTGCACAGCCCATCCAGGGTGGGAGGAGATTGTGACCCCTGGATTAATGTGAGAGTTCAATCATTCCACTTAGCACAGGGCTTAGAACAATCTGCAGGGTGGATTTTGTTAACACCACTGTCCCGAGGAGGAAACCAAGGCTTAGAGAGGTGAAGTGGTTTGCCTAAGTTTGACCAGCTGGTAAGGGTCACAACTGGGATCTGACTCAGGTTTGTCAGGTCTGACTTCTAAATCCGCCCCCCACAATTTCCCTCTCCCCCCTTATCCCATGCAGCTAAAGGAGCCTCTGGTCCTCTCCTTGCCAGGTGTCCATTCGGTTGGACGGTGAGAACAAGGCAGTCGAGTACAACGCCGTGGGCGCCATGAAGGATGCTGTCAGAGTGGTTTTCCGCGGTCCCCTGGTCAACGACCTCTTTGACCGGGACTGGCACAAGATTGCCCTGAGCATCCAGGCCCAGAATGTCTCCCTCTATGTCGACTGTGCGCTGGTGCAGACGCTGCCCATCGAGGAGAGGGAGAACATCGACATCCAGGGGAAGACTGTGATCGGCAAGCGCCTCTATGACAGCGTGCCCATCGATGTGAGTACCAGCAGGGCCTCCTGCAGCCAAGGTCATGGGGCCACCAGGGTGGAGCCTCGGGAGCCAGGGGCCCCTGGTGTGTCCCACACCTGCCTATGTCATTTATCAAGTAATCACCTTGGACTATGTTAGAAGGTAGGACTCTGACTCAGGAAACTACCATTTTGGAGCCCAAACTCACCATCACTCACTCATTCATTCAATTACTCAGCCATTCAGCCAATCACTTATCATGTATATATTCAGCACCTCCTGTGCTCAGCACTGAGGACATGGTACATATATCTACATATAGAAATTTAGATAAATAGATAGATGAATAGGACAATAAAGTTTCCTGTAAATTTTAATAGAGACATTTTTCCCTTTCTTCTCTGATTGTAGAAAATTTGGAAAATAAGTGAAAATCATCCTCATTCCACCAACCAGGGATCAAAACTGGTAATAATAACTGGTAACAGCTATGCTTCTGTTATCATTCCATCAATGTTCTTTGCTTCTCTGTTCTTTCTCTTCCCTCCTTCTTTTCTCCTCTCTCTTTCTCCTTTCCTTTAATTTTTCTCTCTTTCTTTCCTCTGGAAATACATTCCTAAATCTATCCACACAGACACACAAACTGTAAGTGCTCTTGTCCGTGACACACACACACGAGTTGCTTGGTGCTCTGTGTGTTATCTTCAAGCCAAAATCAACCTCATCATCCACGACCTGGAACATCCCCCACTTCCCAAGAAATAACCAGAATCACAGCTCATGTTACTCTTTCTGAAACTGTTGCTTATAATATTTTTACTCATATGCATATCTATTGTCAAATATAGTGTATTTGAATGTGGGCTGGGTTTTTCTGAAATTTATGTAAATGATATACAGTATGGATAGCTACATCTTGCTTTTTTTTCCTCAAAATTATGTGTTTAAGCTTTTATTCCTTCTTTTAGCCGCTTCATAATACTTCATTTTATCATACATTTGTTTATTCCTTCTCCTGTTAGTGGATATTTGGATTATTTCTGATGTTTCACCATCATAATCAGCAAGCCTTGGGTCTTGAACATGGTTGTACGTCTCCAAGTACGCTTTCCTTGTGAGGAAAATGGGGTAATTCCTGCCATTTAGGCCTGAGACGTAGACCAGTTGAGAGAGTTTTTCTGAGGCCCCTTGAGTTCAATGATCAGATTGTAGGGTATACAATTTTTGACTTTCCCATATATTTTAAATTTCTCTACAAAGTGACAAAACATTTATATGCCTACCGGCAATGTATGAAACTCCCATTTTCTTACATCCTCACCAACGTATAGACTGATTTTATTTTTCTAATGTTTTTGGTTATTTGCCAATCTGATGGACATACGATGGTGTTTTATTGTGCTTTCCATCTGCATTTCCCTGAGTACCACTGAGCTCAGAATCCTTCCGTGTGTTTGTTGATCAACCACTTATTTCTACTTTGGTAAATGCCAGTCCATAGCATTTGCCTGTTTTTACAATTATGTTGTTTTTCTTTCTTAATGGTTTCTAGATAATCTTTATGTATTCTGTATACTTATTGCTTGTTTATTATATAAGTTGCAAATATTGTTTCCAAATATTGTATCAAGCGGAAACCCTAAACTAAAAAAAAATGAGTAAGGTTGAATACATCAAGATGCAAGAAATGGTGTTATGGAAAAAACACCATAAACAAGTTATTGGCTCTTTTATAACTTGCTTTGTTAGCTAAACAGTAAATTATAAACATTGGCTGTGTATACAGATTCCTTAAAGTGAAGGCCAGAGGAGTTGGTCAGCAGGACTAGGAAGGGAAGAGATTAGGAGAAGAAGGGAGAGCAAGACGAACACCCACTGAACCTGCGGCTTGAGTGTCAGCCCCGTCTCCAGCTGACTATGATGGCACCGCGAAAGTCACATGCTACGTGTTCTTGAGGCTTTCCTGGCTTGTTTGTTTAATCTCTGAAATGGAAACCCTGCCCTGTTTGCTTCCATATGTACTTACTGAGAGGATTAAATAAGATAATAGATGTGGAACCAAATTAAACAAAGAAAATCGTAAAATCAAAGTAAAGCTATAAGAAATAATTATTCAGACCGCTACTAATTTCAGCTAATTGTGTACGTATGGTGGCTGGCACTGTCCTAAAGTACCCCCCTGCCCCATTTCTGATCAAATCTCCTTCACAGCTTTATGAAGTAAATACAACTGACACCCTCAAATCACAGACAGTGAGAGAAGGACACTCCTTGAGAAGTGACTCTTCTAAGATGGCAGAGCCAACAAATGGCAGAGTTGGGGTCTCCACTCAAACAGCCCAGCTTCAATGCCCATTTGCAAACCACACCTTGACTTAACTAACAGGTGGCAGGGCTGAATGAAGACAGAGCCATGACAATTCATGGTACGAATAAGGATCATGATAATCCCCCTGAGAGTGTGCGTCGTGGTCATGAACATAACCCCTCTCGGTCCTCCCTACAAGCCAGTCTGGTGGGTGTCTGTCATCATGTTACAGATGGGGAGGTTCCATCTCAGAACCATTACATGGTTTGTTTAACCCCGCCCAGCCCCGGGCAGCCAGGCTGGGATTCTGGCCCCACAGGACTCAGCCCCTGAATGACCATCCCTGAAACAGACACCCTTTGAGCTATAACTCAGAGGGCATCTTGTCCAGCCTCTCATTTACATTCCAGATAAGGAAGCTGAGGCTCAGAGGGAGTAACCGATATGAACAAAGAGATATAGCAAGATTAGATTCTTCTAGCTCCTGTTCCGAAACATCAACAATGACTTTTCAACTATGTTTCCATTCAATAGACTGGGAGACTGTTTCAGTTAGAATTCTTCTTAAAACAAGAGGCAGTTTTAGCAGATAGCTCAGCATCCCTAAAGATGCATGTCCCAGACTTTGAGTTAAAGAAAACAGTTTTGAAATCCAAGCTCCACCATTGCCTTTCTGAAGCTCAATTTCCTCAGCTGTAAAGTAGGAAAAATTAGTGCCCCCTACATAGGGTTGTTATGAGATTAAATGTCATATTGTACACGAAGTTCTTAGACAACTGCACAGAGTATTACAAGTTTTCCATAAGTGCTAGTCATCATCATGAGCATCATCACCACCATCATCATCACATTCTCATGGTGATGTTGGGAGGGTTTGTAAGCAGGAAGAGGATTAGATTCTATACCCTCTAATGTATCCCTCTGTATTATATAGTTGAGCCTAAGCAGGGGATTGGGGATAAGACTTGGGTTCCCTTGCGGACACCATCTCTCACCATACACACTGCCCTGGTGTAGCAGTAGTGGTCAGTGGCCCACCTACATCCCCCCCCCCCCAGGCCATACACAGCACCGCCCATACAAGCAGCCATCCACATCCCCAGGAGTGACCCTCAGCCAAGGGCTGGTGGCTGTTAGAGTACCAGTACTCCAGCTCCTGCAACTCTCATCATCCTAAGTCACATCTTCTCCACTGGCTCCAGAGTTCCCCAGCAGGCTTAAACTGCAGCTGCCCACTGGGATGACATCCTTGACAATAACTCTTTGCTGACTAACTCACTTCCATACTCTGCTGCCAGTGCTTCCCAGATAAAATGAACAAAATAAACATACTAGTTTCATTTGAATAAATACCTCTGGGTCGGATAAACTAAACTAGCCATCTGGGCCAGTGACCTTGCTGCTCTGTGCCTGTTTTCTCATCTGGAGAGTGGAGATCCTTACTCACACCTGGCAGTGCTGTTGTGAGGACTGTGTGCGATAACTAATGTGTATACAGCACCTCATGGAGCCTGGTACATGGGGTGTTCTCAAGTGTGTTAGGGCAATACAGCACGATGATTAGGAGAGTGGACTCTGCAGCTAGCTGCCTAGATTCAAATCCTTGTTCTATCTCTGTGTATCCTTGGAAACTTTATTCAACGTGTCAAATCCTCAGGTTTTGTTGTTGTGGTTGTTTTGTAACTGGGACTGTATTGCAGCTCGTGTGTGTAAGTGTAGTTATGTTGGTGCTAAAATACTGAAATAGCTGCATGCTGATTGGTAAATGGCAGCTCCTCTAAGCCTGCTGGTACCCCATCTCCATCTCAGCTGCCCTGGCTCTTATCCTTTCCCAGGGTGCCCAGACTGCCTTATTCTCTAGCAGGTGAAGGGTAAGGGCCTGGTGCAGGAGGCCTCAGGGTCCCTTCTGATTGCAGGGCCTGTGCTTACTGGTTGTTAAAGATGCTTAATATCTCCTTGACTCTGACAGGGGATGAGGACAGCTCCCTGTACCCAGTGGTGGTACCCAGTAATATGGAGGCTGTGAGGATTGGATGGAATGATTCTCATCAAGTGTTCAGCACTGTGTTGGCCCATGAAGAATATTAGAGATGGCGTGCGCTTCGGAGACCATGCTGTGTAGGAGTGGGAGCGAGATGGATCCGAGGGTGCACATGCACACACAGGCATCGCTGGGTCTGCCTCCACTAGGTACCCTGGGGCTCCCCTGCAGAGCCCTGTGCCCTCCTGCTCACGCTCCTCCTCTTCCTGGTCCTACAGATGCAAAGCTCTGCCCTTCTCTCCTCTCCGTAGTTATTCTCAGTAGTTCTCTCAGTAGTTACTGAGTCAAGGCTCCCTCTGACCAGGGACAGGACTTGGCCACAACCCCTTTTGTTCTTCTGGTTTGCTCAGCGGCCTGTGGAATGTGCGTTTGATGCCTCTGAGTCTTGGTCATTGTGTGGAAGCAATTTTCCCTTAATACTTTTTCCAAGAAGACACTGCAGCTCAGACAGGGAAGGGCCTGCCCCAGCGGTGTCTGAAATGGAGGACAGAGTGCAGGAGCTTCTCACTCTTACGGATGGAGGGTTTTCCCAGGAAGGTGACGTTCACCAGACAGGCACTTGTTTCCAGTGAACAAATCCACAGAGATCAGACCTCATCCTGAGCTGGGAGTGACTTCTGAGAGCCTGGCCAAGGGGAAGGAAGGGGCTGAATGGACAGGGGCAGCGGCCGGAGTGTCTGCTGTGTGGTCGGACAGGCTCATGGGCTGGGTGACCCTGGAAAAGATGGAGTTTGCAGTTTGAGACTCCTGTCTGTGAAATGTTATTGATAAGAGGAAATTTGTTATTAAAAGCATTAAGAGATATAGGATAAATAAAACATGTAAAATAGCCCATATGCAAAATAAGTACTTAATAAATAGTGGCAAATAGAATTATTATAATTTAGTTATATATATTTACATAATTATAGAATAATACTGTTGTTCATTATACTAATTATATGTGCTTCTACTTTGGTTCAGGTACTAAAAATATAACCTAATTCAGTTCTCATAATGCTTGTGAAATTCCTAGACTGTTCCTATTCTTTAAATAAAGAAGCTTTGGCTGGGTAAGGCTAAATTAATTCACTCAATAAATATGCATTTTACTTTATTCTTTATTGAGGTATAATCATA